CAGCAAGCGGTCAAGCAGAGACAGCCTGGGGCCTTAACCACTGCCTAGGAGACCTGTGACTCTCGCTCTTTACATCCGGCCTCTTTCTCTTTCAGGGTCCCATTGGGCTTGACGGCAAACCGGTGAGTAGACCCTCTGGTGCTGTGGGCTCCTCCCCTTCCCTTGGTCCTAACCCAGTGTCTCTCAGTCCTTCTGCAAGACCCTGACTCTTTGGAAGAAGCTTCAGATAGAATGAACGTTTCTAGGGTGGAAAGTCGTTGCCAGTGGGAAGGGGAGGAGGGGCCATTAGAATGAATTGTCCCTGACCCAGTGGGCCTTCCCTGGGCACAAGTCCATGGCCCCAGGCTAGGCTCTGATCATCTGAAGCAGGAGCCATCCTAGAATTTAGTGATTCTGGGGCACTCCTGGGAGGGGCTGGCAGGGAGAGAGGCAAGGAGGCAGCAGGAAGGGGAGAGAGGAGGAGAGCTCAGTCTGCTAATTCTGAAAGAAGCCTGAGCACTAGTACACACCCTCATCCCCCAGCACTGGGGGCGCCTCCTGTGTTCTCCTCAGGGTCCCCCACCTTGTTGAGCCCCCACAACACGCCTAGGTCTGTGTGGAGGCTGCTTTCTGTCCAGAGCTCCACTCTGTTCACATCCATCCTTTTGACTTGGCCCCAGACACAGACGTTCATGGGAGGAGCGTGTACCACAGGGCCTTGGCGGGGGGGAGTTCTGGTTGCAAACAACACACCTGGCACTCATGCTCTTCTCCTTCCAGGGCCACCCCGGACCAAAGGGGGAGATGGTAAGACCCAGCTTTCCTGCCTTCCCTCCACGGGTAGGGGGTCGACCTAGCCCATGGTAGGGGGCCACAGAAGCACTGCCAGGCAGAGGGGGCCAACAGGGACAGTGGGAGGGGCTGCCCCACAGTCACTCCCCAGCTGTGTACAACGCGTCCCCTAGGTCCTCACTCAGCACAGGGAGGAGAGGTGGGCAGGGGCTGCTTCTCCACCTGAAGAATGAGGAAAGGGAAGTCCAGAGAGCGTCCGTGCTTGGCCAGTGTCACACAGAGGCCAGTGTCTTCAAACCGCCACTGGGGATGGGCTTGTGTTCAGCATACACACAGAGGCAAAGGGAGCCCATCCAGCACTTTGTCCTGAGCCTGATTTCCTAATGCTCCCTGCCCTGGGTCCCCTGGGACTCCAGGCGCCCCTGCCCCAGCTGGAGGCACAAAGCAGACCTGGAGAAGCAGACCACTGCTTCCACCCTCCTCCTGGCCCCTTCCCACCTTCTACAGAGCCTTTTAAAGGAATTTCCTCTTTTTACTGTCTCCCCTAGGCTACTCTTTTTAGAAGGGAAAGGCCTCCCCTTGTCAGGGGCCATCCCCTCCGGCGGAGGGGGCCAGTTCTTAGTGAGTTGGATGAACCATTAAGAGAAGATGGGCCAGCCCTGGGCTTTCCTGCCTTCCATGCTAGTCACATCTTGTGAGGAACCAGCTCCTGGGATTTGTGCCGGGTGGTGAGAGCCCACGGCAGTTTCCCTGCTTCTGTGTCCAGCCACCTCTGGCTTGTGCCTTGCTCCAAGTGTAGATGGGAGCCAGGGCACTGCCAGAACCCCGTCCTCTGAGGGATGTGGATAACCTGGGAAAAGAGATGGAGGAGGATAGGCTGGAAGACCTGAGCTTTAGCCCCGACTCTCCCTAACTTGCCATGGGACTCTTGGCAGCTTAGCTCCCTCTGGGCCTCAGCATGCCTGCTTGACTCAAACTCAGCTAATGTTTACTGAGGGTTTTCTCTGTGGTGGCAGGGGCTAAGTACTGTACATGTACCATCTCACCTAATCCTCAGCCTAGCCCTGTGCTCCAGGTCCTGTTAGTGTCCCCTTTGACAGCTGTGGAAACTGAAGCCCAGAGAGTCTAACTTGCCTGAAGGCACACAGCTAGGGAGCGTCCAGAAGAGGATCCCACCCAGTTCTCGAATTCCTTCCCTCCACATTTTATTGCCTTTCTCCCTCTTTATTCCTCTCTCTCCTTCCCTTTCTCCCTGACTCCTTCCTTTGACACATTTTCATGAAGTATCTGCACTGCTGGGCACTGCGCCAGGTGCTGGGATACAGACAGGAGTAAGTCCTCGTCATTCTGTAGCACACAGCCTAGTCTAGGAGACATACATTTAAATAATCACTCACATAATTAACAAATTGCCTTTGCAGTTGGTGCTATGAAAAGCCAGTACCTGTTAGCCTGAGAAACCTCAGCATAACAACCCCTCACCCAGGCTGAGGGTCAGAGAGGCTTTCCTGAGAAAAAGACTTGAACTAGGTCCTGAGGGATGAGGATTTAACTAAGAGAAAAGGAGATGGGAAGGGGCATTCTGGACATGGGAGGACAGCATGTGCAAAGACCCTGAAATAGGAAAGTCCTTAAAACATCCCATGGAGCTGGAAGAAGGGCAGTGGCGCACTGGAAGCCATAGGTAGAACTGGCATTGAATTCAGGTCCCCCCAGCCAGCTTTCCTCTCCATCCCAGCCACCTCCACTGCAAATGCATTTCTTGTGGCTCCTACCCTGTTCTTAAGCATGCTATGCACATGCAGGAAGTGTTGGAGACCAAGGCAAGAATATACTCCATGCTTCCTTTATTAGAGAGGCATAAGAGATCTGGATGCCAGGAGTTTGGAGTGTTTATCAGCCCCCTCTCTGCCACCTTCTTCCTCTTCCTAGTGGCCTAATGGCTGGGATCACCCACCTTGCGACCCTAGAAGTAATTATGATGATCAACATCTGGGCACTTTTCTGTAATCATAAAAAGTTTTCATTCCCACTCTACAAAAGGGGAAATCAAGGCACAGCGTGGCTGAGTGTATTTCCCTAGGCTACACTGCTTCTAAATAACAGAGCTGAGATTGAAACCCACGTGGTAGGATTTTACCCCTGCACCACGTCTCCTTTTGCTGCCAGGGCCCTTGGTTTTAAAGGAAAGGGACCCTTCTATAGGGCTCCTCCTCCCGCCGTCCCTCTGCCCCACCTCACTTGACCACCCATGAGCTTCCTTGTCTGTTCCCGGATCAGAAGTAACTTGCGGGGGAAAGGTGGGGCCATTCCTTCTCCCATAAGGCCACGTCAGTGTGATAGATCCCCTGTCTGCCTCAGAGTCATCCATCAAAATCCAACAGGCCACAGAGCCACTGGGCTCCTGTTTGGCTTGGCACAGAAACCCCGAGCTCTTAATTCAACATGCTGTCTAGTGTAATTATCTTGGCCTGCTTATCATCTGTTGGGCTCCCACTCACCTCCCTCTCCGGATGGTTTCCTCTCCACTGGGTGTCCAAAATAGGGGTCTGGGGCTCACCCTTATGTGCTTAATCTGTGTCCTTGTCAAAAGGGGTGACCTCACCCTGCCCACCTCACAGTAGCCCCGAGAACCTGTTGTAAGGTGTGGACAGGATCGGGGGTCCCACAAGTGGCTTCAAGGAGAACCAGGACTCTGAATTCACATCTTGTCCCACCACTCACAGAGCTGTCCTAAGGGTGGGAGGAGTTAATTCACACCAAGTGCTTAGAACAGTTCCTGGCACAGAGGGAGAAGGACAGGCGCCTGAGCTGGCGCATCTCCCACCACCTGTCGTAAAGGGGAGTCTCAAGAGCTTGTTGGTGCCGTGTGTGGTTGGACCTTGAAATACTTCAGCGAAACTTGAAATTCAGATTTTTGTTGTACTCTCCTTGCTCTCAAATATTGGCAATTAATTGAAATAAAACTGCATGGTCTCAACAAAATCCCTCTGAGAACCACAATTGTCCCATGGGCCACCATTTGGGTTGTCTGGACCCAATCCTCCAAGTCTCTGCAGTCCCAAACCTTTGCGTTATTTTTTCTGGGCTCCTGGCCCTCCCTTGCTCATAATATTCCCGAGAAAGGGTGTCCTGTTCCCCTGCAGTCTGGTTCCCTGCCAGATACATCATATTCTGCTGAGCTTGATTCTAAACTGTCAACCACGTGGGCTGGGGTGCCACATGGATTGTCCCAAAGACCACTTGTCCCTTCCCATGAACCTGCTGAGAATTTCCCAGTTTGGTAGACGGTCCAGTTGGCAAGTTGGAGACAAGAGGGATTTTTTTCCCACCCAAATGGATCTGTCCATGGGGTCCTGAGGTCAAGCCCCAGAGAGACTGATCCAGAGGTGGGTCCTCACAGGCCCTCAGGACGGTGGCTAGAAGGGACCTCAGGGCCCCAGGGGCTGGGGCCCTGCCTGTGACTCTAGCCAAGTTTAGAAGCCCTGCCCCGCGAGGTCCAGCCCAGCTCACTGAGTGTGGCAGTGTGGACACAGCTGGACACAGCAGTCCCAGTGCCATCACTCGCTGAGCCGCAGGGCCTTGTCTCCATCACCTCGTCCGGGAGATGGAGTGATGCCAGTGCCTTCTTGGGCCAGCATGGTGTGAGCTCAGAATATCCCAAAAGCCTGCCTCTGAGGGGGTCCTCAAAACAAAGTGGACTGTCCTCCCTGTCTCCCTACCACACCAGCCCAGCATGCGACCTCAGCACCGACCTCAGGTCAGGCTCCTGAGAGAGCCAGCTGGACACTGTGTCCTCCTCAGAGAAGGGTCCTCTCTGAACCCGGGCTCTTTTCTCAGCCCTACAAACTTGACAAGACCCCTTGGAAGGAAAGCCCAAGGCCCCTTATGTTCCTCTGCGGAGCCCAGAACATGGCTTAAGTTGTCCACTTCCTGTTTCCTCTCTTTTGCCAAGGTTTCTCCAAACCCCTGATGTCTGCAGCACTGCCCCAGCCCCCGTGTCCTCAGAATCCCTCTGGCCCAGTGGGGTTGATGCTAAGGCTGCAGAGGGTAGGAGTTAGAATGTGTAGTGTCTCCTGGAGGCTTTTGTCTCCACGAGGAGAGGGCGTGAGTGAGCGGGGCGTCCACAGTAGCAGAGCATCACCTGATGTGCAGATGGAGATGCCGCCTCCTTTGTGTCCCCACCACTAGATGCTGGCGGTGGAGGAATGAATGAAGGACGGCATCTGTTCTTCATCATGGCTGCATGCAGGGGCCAGGGCACACCTACTGGACACACAGGACACACAGTCATGTCCACTGGGGGACAAAGAAGCTGAGCTACACCAGCTGGACCATCTTGGGCATAGGAAGACCAGGCATGGGTGGCCAAACCCAGGCTTCAGGACTCCAGGCTTTCCAAAAAGTTCCTGCACAACCCCACACAGGCCTGCATCTCTGGTTCTGCCCCCCTCTTTGCTCCCACTGACCTGTGTGTGTTTCCTCCCCACAGGGCCTGGCGGGTCCCCCAGGACAGCCGGTTGGTACCTCGCTCTCATGTTCCCCAGCAGAGAGGCTTTGGGCCCTAGGTCCTTAGGCTCAGTTTCTAACTCTCTCGTTTCTGTCTTTTCATAGGGACCTCAAGGACAAAAAGGAGAAAAGGTAAGGCCAGTGGAGGCTTTCTAGAATTTTCATCTCAGTAAACAGCCTTCCAACAGGTAGAAAGGGTTATTTTCAAACTTCAGTTTTTATCAACAGAACCAGGGAACCCCTGTGGCAGGCGGTATATGAGGGAGAGAAGGGAAGCTGCTCTAGTTGGGGTTCTTTTCTTTGGGGGGACAGGGCAGCCTGGAGCCTGGTCCTTCTCAGCCTCTTTCTCTGCCTATCACACCTGCCACCCCAGTGGTATTTCCTGATCACCTCCATGAGCCTCCAGGATTTTGAGGTGTCAGTTTGTAAACCACTGGTCTGGTCCGCTTCCTGTCGTCCTGTGTTCTGTGTCTCCTTGAATTTCTGATGGAGACTCTGCTGGGCATGCCCCAAGGTAGATGGTGCAGCTGCCTGGCACCCCCACTCAAAAAAAGGCATCCCCGAGGGCCCTGTTGCTCACAGCCTGCCTCAGTGTCCACTGTTCCCATTCAGGGGCTCCTGTTCAGGGCTGTTGGTTGGACACACCCAGAGTGTTGACCTTTCCAGGAGATTCCTCCAGCCTGGCATGGAGCATAACTCCTCACTCTGCTGTCACAGCACATGGTGTGGGGTGGCAGAGTCCTGCCCTAGGCTCCGTGGGGCCCCGTCAGGCAGGCCCTGGGGGCTTCTTCCCTGCTACCAGCCTGGCGAGGGGGAGGGAATCAGTTCTACCTCTGAGAGCTCAGCCTAGGATCAGAGCGAGGCTCGTGGGTTATGAGTATGAGTGATGTGTCCACAAGTCCTGAGGTTGCCTCCGAGGGACAGCCCCCCCAACAGGTGCCTAACACCCTCCTCTCCTTCCCTCTCTTTCCCAGGGTCAGTGTGGAGAGTACCCACATCGGGTAAGTGAACCCTGAAAGCTGATCCACCCCTGGGGCACAGCCCCCAGCTCAGCCTCATCTTCCCTACTGAGCTTGGGGCCTAGGAGCACACAGTCCCCTCAGCACTCAGTGGCCAGAGCCGTGCTGTGCGGGAGCAGTGTGTTTGGCCCCCAAGAGTGCCCTGTGTTCAGTGCGTGTGTTTGTACAGAGCTGGTCTCCAGTGATCATGTCCACCCGCCCGTGCGTGTTTTTGTCTATCTGCCCCTGTGCTGGCTGGGCCCCCTCGCCCTGCAGCGTGTGTGTGTCTGGAACTCCGCCTGCCTGGCTGTGCGCTCCTTTGCACATGGCCTTCTAGGTAAGGCCGTGCAGCTTGTTCGAGTCTGTGTCTGATCCTGTACCCAGCGTGTGACTCCATGTACGTGTGTCTGGCTGCCTGCCCTGGCTGAATCAGAGGGACTTTTGGGTTAGTCATTGTTTCAGATGACCCAAACCTCCATGGCGGGAGATAATTGAAGGCTGACTGTATCGATTCAAGGATAAAGTCTCTGTTTTGCCTCTTGAAGAATAAAGGATGCTTCTCTAAGGGGGTAGGGGATTTCAGGGCTGGGAAGGTCTCCCACTCTGCCCCAGCCCCCACCCAGCTCCTTCCTTTTCCTTGCTCCACCCCAGAATACAGAGCCCAATGGCTGCTATGATCCTATTAGGAAGCCTCAAATATGTGAACCAGCATCAGAGAGCCATTCTTGAGCGAGGAGGGCGAAGGAGTGCGGTGCTTCCTCCAGCAGGAGCCCCAGGGAGTGGGGACCAGGAAAATGCCCCTTGTTTTGTGGATCAGCCTTGCTGCTTTCAGACGTGGGCAGTAGGGGTAGGGACGACAGGCATCTTTAGGTGTCCATCCACCTGTCACAGGCTTCATTGTGTTCAGAAACACACACACCGTACAGCTGCCCTGGCCACCCATCCCTGCCAGGCAGGGGGATTGAGTGAGTGGAGAGGCGCACAAGCCAGGCTCACAGTCGACTGTGCTGGCTCCGGAAGGCCACTGGGAGGGCCTTGCCAACAGGGTCTGGCCACTCAGACTCTGACCTCTGGGTTCCCAGGCCAGGGAGAGGCTGAAGGCGGGGCAGCCTTGAACATGAGCGGCTGGGGTGGGGTTGAGGCCAAGACTGGGCAGGGGGCGCGGGCCGGTAGCAGGGCAGACAGAGCCAGCCTGTCAGTGGCATGTGCTCCAGGGAGGCAGGGGCCCTGGTGTTCCGGCCAGCCTGATCCTGATACAATAATAGAAGGTCAGCTGTGTTTATTTGAAACGATGGGCTCACAGGATTGTTATGTTACACGAAAGAAAGACAGCATCCCCCAGCACAAAAGACAACACGCTTGCAGACGCTTTGACAGTGTGTCATTAGTCCGAGTGAATGCATGGGGGCAGGAGGAGGAGAGCGCTCTCTGCCCTTCAGCCCAACCCAGCAAGAGGAAGCTGATGGGGATAGAAGCTTCAGAGCCCCTTGGGCACAGAGTGCAAGGAAGCCCAGCGCTATGACTGCACCAGTGTGGGTGACAAGTCAGGCAGGGTGAGAGTGGATTTGGGGATCCAGCTGATGGGCGAGGCAAGGCAGCAGGCACCCTCTGTTTATTTGGAAGTGGGTAGGAAACCAGGGTGCTTCTAGGCAAAGGGTCTGTTGGCTTTCTGAGGGGTCTGTGGACCTGAAGGGAGTGGCAGGCCTCCTGGTCCACAAGTTACAAGATCCAGGTTGGCCCGGGCCTCTGTTCCAGCCTGCAGCATCCCCAGGGAGGGAGGGAGTGGGAGGAGGGGTAGGCAGGGGTGGGCTGGGGTGCTCTGGGACAGGGAGCAGGGAGCTGGTGTCTGGGCCTGGCACTCACTCTCTCTGTCACCCTGTTTCCACCCCCACCCCCACCCCAGGAGCACCTAAGCAGCCCTCTAGCCGCTCTGCGCTCCAACCAGATAATTACCCTGAAGGTTCGTAGGTTCTGGAAGGTCTCCGGGCCCCTCTGCTGAGAGGCTCCCTGGACGCAGAGCCCAACATTGCACGTCTCCAGGTCCTACAGTGGGAGGGATGGGGCTCCCAGGGCAGCAGCTGCCCAGGAAGGCAGCAGTGACCCAGAAAGGCCACAATCGGGCTCCCAAGTCCTCAGCTGGGTCCCTCCTCAGCCCAGGTGGCCCCTGCTTCTTAATGCTCATCCCAACAACCTCACATGAGTTAAAATGCTTTCAAAAGCAAGAGGTGGATTACATGCCATCTTTGTTTTCACATGAGTTCTAACCTCTTCCTAAAGCCATGGGACACTCAGCTCCAATGGGTAAAGAGACCAGAAGCAGCAAGGATTTCCAGAAACGAAAATGACATCAGATAACATGATTGCAAGTTGCCTCCCCTCTAAAAAGTGGTTGAACATGCTGGAGACATCTTTGCCCAGCCTCTGTTTTCCAAGCCCATGAGCTCCAGGGTGAGACCTCAGTAGCACTTAGCTGGTGCCCACACCGGTCACACCCTCCACTGGCTCAGCACCCAGGAGCCAGCCTTGGCACCGCCCTTGACCATCCTCCCCAGATTCGCTGACACTAGCCTTTCCTTCTTCAACTGAAAAAAGAACCCAGAGGTCACCACACACCAGCCTGGCTTCAAGGACCAATTTAGCTGGTCTTGTGGCTCCCCAGCCGCAGCCTTGGAGTCTCCTCCCCTCAGCCCAGCAGCCTCGGTCCACAACCAGGGATGGGCGGGGCTGGCAGTGCAATGTTGGGCCGCGTGTCAGGAGGCCTCTGTGGCCCACCTTGGCCACGGAGGGCAGGCCAGGCCAGGCCAGGTAGGGCCACTCTCCCGGCCGGGGAGGGCTGCTGGCCAACACTCCCTCAAGGGATGGGGTGCCACCCAAGGGCAAGCTCTGCACTGCACCCACAAACCTTGAAGCCCCGCCCACGCCCTCCTCCTGTGCCTCATGCTCGCTAATCTCTCTTCTCTCTTCCTCTCCTCCCACCCTCTTGGCCGCCCTGCCTTCCTGGCGACTTTCGACCCTCCTGAACACCTGCGATCTTTGGCCTTTGCCCTCTGGCCTTCCACCTGGTCTTTCTCCTCAGCTGCTGCCTCTCCTCAATTCAGTGCGGCTGGCTCCACCCCCAGTCATTAAAAGGCGGACCTTCCAGGTAGACACCTCCCTTGCCCAGACCACGTCGGGCTTCCCAGGGGCTGGCAAGTCTCTGCGCCCTGACAGGCCAGCTGGGGCTGCCGGCGAAGCCAGAATCTCACTCCACCCTGGTTACATTAAACTAGATAAAAATGGACCCACAAATGCCATAGACATGAAAATACACAACACCCAGACCCAGGAGTCACGACTGTTACCTCACCATTACTACTCATAACAGCCGCCATCAACAGCCATCGCTGTGTGCCAGGCACTGAGCTGTGCTTTTTACAGGCCTGATTTCATTTAATTCTCTCCACAGTTGTATGATTTAGGCATGATCATCCTTATTTCACAGATGAGGAAATCAGGCTCAGAGACATTAAGTTGTCCAAGATTACACAGCCAGTAAATTGCAGAACACCAAGATTTTCTTCCTTACTAGCTGTGTGATTTGGGGCAAGTTACTTAACCTCTCTGTACCTCAGCTTGCTCATTTGTAAAATAAGGGTAATAGCAGTTCCTACTGCCTAGGGTCATTGTGTACACAAAGCACTGGGAATAATTCCGGCATAGTTTAAGTGCTATGATTAAACTGAGGCTCAGAGAGGTGAATTTGTGCCCAAGGTCACACGAACAGCAGGAGGCAGGATGGGAACTGGCAGCCAGGTCTTCAGACCCCACATCCAGGGCTCTCTCAGTTGGACCTACACCCTTTCTGCTTAAAAGTGTAGGTTGCTTAGTATCTGATTGCTGGTAACCTGAGTTTGAGAATCTAGGGAATTTGCAGAGGAAATTTAGCCCACAACTGATAGATGTAATCATTGTGAGCAACTGCTTCCTTCTTCCTGCCTTACAAGCCAAGGAGGCTGGGATTGGACCAGATCACAGCGAACAAAGAGCAAGAGACCACAGACCAAGGGATCCAGGCAGAGGTGTTACAGCTTGATTCTAGACCAGGCAGCCCATGGCTGCCACTCGTGCCACCAGCCTTCCTTATGTTGGGGGTCAGGGGTCCCCCTTAAGGCTACAGTGGTGCTGGAAGTGGCCAGGCTCAGAGATGCTCTCTGAAAGCCTGACAGCAGGGCCAGGAGCCACCATCTGGCTTGACTCAGGAGCCCAGGGGCCTGCATGTTCAGGCACCTGATTGAACAAAGCTGAAAAATCACTCCAATTAACAGCTAAAAACACAGAGGGACACGTGATACATGTGCTACCTGAGCCTACATATCCCATTACACCAGCCAAATCCTCGAGAGCCTCCAAGTGCTCCGAGTACTTACCCCAAGCATGGCTCTCAGGGGGCCCAGTGCCAGCTCAGAGAAGCACCAGGCCCACCCCACTCTCAGTGATCCCACTGTGTCAGACGCCCTTCCAGGGGAGCTGAGTCCTTGCTCTCAGAGTGGCCCCAGCCCCCAGCAGCCACCTCCCGGCCTTAGTTGCGTCAGCCGCTGTTTGCTGAGCCCCCACTGGGTTCCAGCAACTTCTGTAAGAATTCTATGTGGATTATCCCGTGTGATCCCACACCAGCCACCCAGCAGCGGAGGTGCCATCCTCGTCATCCCCACCTTACGGGCGAAGAAACTGAGAGGGGCTGAGGCTTGATCCTGCCTCCCTTTTCAAGAGCGAGAGGCGGGTGATCCAGAACTTTCTGTGCTGCTCTGACCTGATTTCCACAGGAAAGAGGGAAGAATAGGGGCCCCTGTTCTGCCTGCTGCGGATTCGGCCTGGAGAATAAGGTTTTGATGCTGTCAGCCACCGTGGGACATAAAAAGGCTTGTCCATTTCCTATCAATAAACCAATATTGATTTTACAGGCTCTCTAAGATGCTTAAACATAGGGTCTAACATTATTTGAAAGAGGAGACTTTATATAAGATATGATGTGCTTAGCAGATGGTGTTGGAGTCATTTCCAACGTGCATAAAGTTGGATGGTGAGCAGTTTTTGCTGGGGGCTTATCTGGAATGAATAGAAATAGTCTGGAGTTCTGAGTTTGGGTCCTGGCTCCCCCCACCGATTTCTCCCTGTGACCTTGGTCAGAGAGCTCAACTTCTCTGAGCTTCAGGTTTCTCCTCTGTAAAGTGGGACTTGTGATCCATTTCTGCACCTGCTTGCTCCCCCAAGGACACTCAGAGCCCTCAAGCAGCTTCTCAGAGGGTGTGGCAGGATGCAGCCCAGGCCCCAGAGTGGCACTGCTGGTGGCATTGGCCCTAGGATGTCCCAACGGAGAGATGGTTCAAACAGTTGCTGCTAAAATCTTTGTTCTCATCCTGAAGTTGTGCACTCCTGTTTAAAATCATCATTTTCCTCTATGGGGTTTGCAGCAAGCACCATCAGTT